TTAAAAGACACATGGAGAGAAAGAAATGCTAAAACTAAACAATATACCTTCTATTCAAATAGACACTTATCATGGTCCAGAATAGATAAGATATGGATGTCAACAGAATTGTTAACTAATATTCAAGAAATAAATATTGAAACAAGTAGTTGAGCAGATCACAGTCCAATGACAAATGGAAAGGACAAAAAAGAAGATCTAGATGGACGTTAAATAATACTATTTGAAAGGAAAAAGACTTCACACAGTGGATGGAGAAAGAATTGCCTTTTTTCTTTAGAGAAAACAAAAATGAAGTTACATCAATTCAGAATGTATGGGATACAATGAAGGCATATGTTAGACGCTTGATAATAGACTATACAAGGAAAAGGAATACTATGAAAAGATTAGCCTCTAAGGCCCCAGAGGATGAGCATAAAAGACTTGAAAAAGAGCTACAGAAAATGCCACAGGAAAAGGACATCAAGTTAAAAATGGATATAATTAAACACAAAATGGGTCAAATAGAAAACAAAGAATTAGCACAGAAAATTAGAGGTGCTAAACAGAACTACTTTGAAGACGCAAACAAAACAGGTAGGTGGTTAGCATACAAATTGAGAAAGGAGAAAGAATCAAGGAAAATATTGCAATTAATAGATGACCAAGGCCAAGTTTGCCATGGTAGCAAACAGAAGAAGGAAATCATTCGAGACTTCTATGGGAAATTATATATGCAAGAGAATATTGATGAGGAAAGAGTTAAACAGTACTTACAGAATGCTAATTTACCTCAGATACTTAAAGAGACTGAAAAAATGTTAGAAAGCAATATAACGATGATGGAGTTAACTGAAGCACTCAAGAAGCAAAATAATGGAAAGGCACCAGGCCCAGATGGACTTCCGGCTGAATTTTATAAAACATTACAAGAATCGTTGAATCTTCCAATTGCTAGAAGTTATGAATGAAGTTATGTTAAAGAAGAGGATACCTAAATCATGGTCAGAAGCCTATATTACACTTATTCCAAAAGAGGAGGCCGACCCATTACAAATTAAGAACTATAGACCTATTTCTCTACTAAATGCAGATTATAAAATCTTTGCTTCAATATTGGCAGAAAGACATAAAAATATTTAAATAATTTTATCCATCCTGATCAAAATGGATTTCTGCCAAAGAGACAAATTAAAGACAATATGAGAGTAATCTTGGACACCTTGGAATACTACAAAGTACATCCTGAAAAACAAATGGCTCTGATATTTCTAGATGCACAGAAGGCATTTGATAATGTGAATTGGCGATTCATGTTATTATTGTTGGAACTGATGGGTTTTTCTAGAAAATTTATTCAAGCAATAGAAGCTATATACTATAAGCAAACGGCAAAGGTAATGATAGAGGGAGAACTGACAGACTATATCAATATAAGACAAGGATGCCCACTATCACCTTTGTTGTTTGTGTTAACTTTGGAAGTGCTAAACAGAAATATTAGAGATGAAAAGAATATAAAAGGAATGAAAATCAAAAAGGAAGAATTTAAACTGCAAGCATTTGCAGATGATCTGGTTTTCATCTTTGAAGACCCTTTAGAAACAGCATCAAAATTGATAGAAAAGATAGAGACATATGGAAAGGTGGCTGGTTTGAAAATAAATAAAGATAAGACAAAGATCTTGACAAAGAATATGCTATTAAGACAAAAGGAAGAACTGGCAGACCTATTGAAAATTCAGGTCACGAATAAGATTAAGTACCTGGGATATATTTGACAGCAAGATGTAGTACATTAAAAGAGAATAATTATATCAAACTTAAACAACAGATAGCACTAGATTTGGCGAAATGGGAAAATTTACAACTGTCACTAATAGGGAGAATTTCAACAATCAAGATGAATATATTACCCAGAATTTTATATTTTTTGAAACAAACAATTCTAATTAGGCTTGGAAAAGACTACTTTGAAGATTTAAATAAAATTGTATTGAAATATATATGGCAAGGTAAGAAAGCGAGAATAAAGTTAAAACTTTTGCAAGATGTTAGAATTAGAGGAGGATTTGGTTTGCCTAATTGGGAGTTGTACTACCAAGCTACAAATCTGATGTGGGTTAAGGAATGGATAACACTAAGAAATACTAGATTGTTGACATAGAAGGACATGATTTGTTGTTGGGGTGGCATGCTTTTTTATGGTATAAAGGAACTAAAACAGGGCTATTTTCGAAGACATTATATACGGGAGTCTCTGTGGCTAAACTGGGAGAAGATTAAAAGACAATGTTATTTGAAAATTCCAGTCTGGTTATCGACTATTGAAGCATTTTCTTATCCTATAATATAGAAAAAGGAACAAACAGTTAGATATGGTGAAATATTGAATGAAAAGGGTGAACTTAAATCTATGCAAAAACTAGAGGAACAAGGTATAAAGATGAATTGGTTTTCATATGCGCAAATACATTCAAGGTACACTAAAGATTCTAAAACAGAAGGTTTCTATGATAAACTGACTGACTTAGATAAGATTTTGACAGTACTGATGAAAAGGTGATTAAAAAATTGTATGGATATTTATTGGAAATTAAACTAGAAGAAGAACAAGTTAAAGAAACTATGATTGCTTGGGAGAAGAATTTTGGATATGCGATTGATTTAGAGAAATGGCAAAAACTGTGGTCTCAAAATTATAAAATGACAATGTCAACAGCATATAAAGAAAATTTGTATAAGATGTTTTACAGGTGGCATTTCCCCCGACAAGAATAGCAAGAATGTTCAAGAATAAATCTGAAAAATTTTGGAAATGTCATCAGATACCTGGCTCATATTACCATATGTGGTGGACTTGTGCGGATGCTAAAAAATACTGGACTAAAATCCACCTGTGGTTGGAAAAAATGACAAAAAAACATATAGATTTGAACCCAGAGATATTTTTATTGGGAAGTTTACCTGAAATATATAGTAAAGACTTGAAATACCTGATTGTAAATGTATTAACAGCGGCTAGGATTGTATTTGCTAAAAACTGGAAAAATGAGAAAATACCATCACAGGAGGAAATCATTAAGAAAATATTGGAATGTGCTGAAATGAGTAGATTGACATTTGAAATTAGAGAACAAGAGGATAAAGAATTTTATAAAATTTGTGATCTTTTCTATCAATGGTTAGACACTAAAAAACAGTAATGAAATACGTAGACTTTTTAGAAAATAATAAATATATAAAGATGTACTTTTTTCTTATATTTACAAAATAATTTTAGGATAGATTTGGGACGATAATATGAACTGTTATAAAATAAACTAAGTAAATTATGATTATCCTGTAAAACATGAATGAATAAAACTGTAGTCAAATGATTGATTAATAATGATACTTGGTATTTAATTTTTGATTGACAATATGAGATCATATGCAATGTAATTGTAATTGAAGACTATGAAATGGAAGCACAAAACAATTTGTAAACCAACCGGCACACTGTATGTACACCTATGGAAGATAGCTTGATGTTTTTGTTTTGTTTGTTTATGTTTGTTTTTAAAAACCAATAAAATTAAAAAAAAAAGGATTCAAGCAGGATGGAGAACAGTCCATCTTAGTTCTGGTGTTTTCAGTTTTTGAGACTTGGCCTCCTTCAGCGCAGTTTTATTGTCCTGAACACAATAGTTGTTGCTTTACCAAAAGGCAAAAAGGCCTTTGTTTTTTTTAAATTTAATCTGGCATTTGTTTGAAGGCTGAGTAAGTTGAAAGGCCGATGCAACCAACAGGATTGATTCCGTTGGTCTCTGTCTTATTCTTTTTTTTTTTTTTGCAATAGTATTTTTATTTTTTGTTACAATAAAAATCAATGTGTGAACAGTGTGGTTCCGTAGTGTCTTACATTTCAATAAAAATATGACAATATTCCTCTTATTCAATAGTTTACAATTTTTCAAATTTGATATTAATACATATAATAATTAAATTATCAATCTTAATTATTCAATATTATAGTATGCTATTTTGGTTGGTCTCTATCTTATTCTTGAAGAATTCAGAAAAAGAATCCAGCTCCAGTTTGAAACTGGCTCACGTTTTGAAGAGGTGTTAGAAAACTTTCTGTTTAATCACTGGGTGCTAACTTCTCAGAGGCTTTTCTTTGGCATATGCAGTACGGCTGTTCCACTTCTGTTTTTACTAATTACAGTTATCGATCATTCATCATTTGAGACTCTTATAGTGAAATAGCTTTTCGCTCTTTCAATTGATTGAATAGCAAAATTAGACTCTCATGGCTTGTTCTTTCATTGTGTTTCAGTAAGAACAGAGGAAGATACATGAAATTAAAACAAATATAGTTTTAATAATTTGGAGGAATAACACAGATTGCTTAATACACAAACCCCTTTCATGTGCTGCCCCCTTGCATGCTTAGTTTGCAGTTTAAATTTTGCTCGTGTTTCAAGGTTCTAAAGATACAAAGAATTTTATGTGACTTGAAAGTAATATGCTTATTTAGTATCCTATGCCTGTCATTGAGTGTTGTACCTTATGATTTATAATTATCGTATTTTATGATTAGGTTCATGATTTATCACTTGTTTGTATGTACAGTTGAGAGCTTATGCACTGGAGACAAATTCCTTGTGTGTCCAATCACACTTGTCCAATAAAGAATTCTATGTTATTCTAGAAATGTTCAGTTCTCTCCACCAGATGAGAGCACAATGATTTGTTTGATTTAACTCTCCAATATATTATCTGAATTAGCTACAGTCACTTGAGGAAAAGAGGTAAAATAAAAACGGGGAAGAAAACCCTTCAAAATTTGCAGACTATGAAATAGTTATGGACTATAATGAACAGTTACCCTAAAAATTGGAGGTGCATAACTTCAGTCAGTCCGTTTAATCCAAGCAAAGATAAATACAATCTATGAAGCATTTGTCTCCAAGTAGATCAAATTTTAAGCTATATGCAGTTATGAAATATTTTGAGCCTCTCCATTCTTTCAGTGTCTGATCTGCAAGAAGAAGGTAAAAATGCTATCAATGCTCCGATGTCCCCTGCTACAACCGATCTTCATCCAGAAGATACATTACTAGGTATGTATGAATGCAACATCATAGACTTATGATGGGAACAACTACAGCTTCCTTTGGATTTAGATTAAGTACCTTCTGAGCCTTACCCTGCCTGATACGAGTCTAATCCAGTATTTAATCCTGGGTAAAAATGCAGACTAGTGTCTAATATGGAAGTATGGCTAGAGAAATAGGAAGGTTTTTTTTTTTTTCATTCTCCCTTTGCTTCCTCTCTCCGTTGCCTTTGGAAAACTCCTGTTTTGAGGGTAACAAGAGTCAAGTCTTCTGCAAGCAACCCGGTGTCACATATCACGTGATCTGAAAGCCCAGTTCATCAACAGTGTCTTCTTCATGCTATTGTTGTCCCCAATTTGGGTCCCTGAGCCTGGTGCCAAAGATAATGATAGATTCCAGACACGAGGTGCAGGTTTTCTGATCGCTTTTTATTGGAGTACTCCAAGGAAAAGGGCTCCTGGACAAAATGCCAAGAACCAAGAATTAAATAAACTTGATACATTTTCACTAAAGGAAAAGACGGGACGAGGCAAAATAATAAGAAATATAATCTAATAAACATTTTAGTAATAATTCTACAATTTGTTCTATTGGTCTCTAGCTGTCCTTATTCCCAAGTCTTAGCTAATGAATGCCCTAGGAGTTACCTAATACAGATTTGATTTGCTGCAGGCCTTCTCTATCCCTAACTGTTAGCTGAGATCTGCAAGTTGGCTAACCCATGTTACTTTTATCAGCTTTCCAATGAGCTAGGATTGTTACAAGATTTACACATGCCTATCTCCTGTGGATAAGCATTCTTTGTTCTTGCCAGACAAGGCTCCACAATTACAGGTTTCCTGATTTACTTTGAAGTGTGTGTCATGATCTGGCTTTATTTTAGCAGATGGCCCATCACTATGAGGCAACCAACACCATGTAACCCTTTGGGCAGTGCCTTTTTCAATCAGTGAGAATAGAGCTGGATGAGACCTTAGATGTCTTCTAATCCAATCCCCTGCTCAAGCAGTAGACCCTATACCCATGATGGCAAACCTATGCTGGAAGTGGCATGCAGAGCCATCTCTCCGGGCACACCAGATGTCGCTCAGGTTCCGGGGTGTGCATGCGCGCTGGCCAGATGGTCTTTGGGAGCACTGGAAATTGGAAGAGCAGTTCCCTAGGATGCGTGCTAGTCACCTGGTCTTCCGGGGTTTCTAACGCACATGAGAACACAAAGACCAGGTGGCCGGTGTGCATGTGCGTGCCAGGAGCTGCTCTTCTGGTTTCTGGTGTGTGCGTGTGTGTGTGCGTTTCAGTACCTGGTGCCTTTTTTGGTGCACGCACGCTCCTGTTTTTGGCACTTGGTGACAAAAAGGTTAACCACTACTGCCCTATACCATTTCAGACAACTAGCTGTCCAGTTTTTTCGAAAAAACCTCCAGTGATGGAGCACCTACAACTTCTGAAAGTTCCACTAGTTAATTGGTCTCACTGTTCTCCCCTTGATTAGTTTCCCATCCATTGTTTCTCATTTTGCCTTCTGGTGCTTTGGAAAATAAGTGGACTCCCCTCTTCTTTATGGCAGCCCCTCAAATACTGGAATACTGCTATCATGTCACCTCTGGTTCTTCTTTTCTCTAAACTAGCCATGCCCAATTTACTGGCAGATAATTAGATGTCCTCTTCTGGTTTATCAAATGACTACTTTTTGCCATTTATAAATCAGGTGGCAGCTGATGTCTTTTAATAGCAATGTCTGAAACAATGAGCCTGTGTTTGTGACACGATGGCTTTAATGAGGGGTTTCTTTTTGAAATTGCCAGAGGAAAATGAAGAACGTACCATGATAGATCCCACTTCAAAGGAGGATGCCAAGTTTAAAGAACTTATCAAGGTGAGTAGCACTATATAATATCAATAATATCTTTATCTTATTATCTTATCTGGATTGCTCTGTACATTTCTTGATAAGATTCCTTTTGTGCAAAAGATAAGATTCCTTTTGTGCAAAAGCATCACTCAAATAATTGTATGTATGTATGTGTGTGTCT